CGGTGACGAGCTCGGTCGAATAAACTGCTTCTCTAACAGATAACCTAACTGCTTCCTTAGTTCGTCGAGCTCGGGCTGTGTCAGTCTGAACTGGCGCTGTACAGTTGGCTGTGCCCCCGGTTCTAACTCGATCCTATGGTCATGCGCCCGCTGAGGTGGCAGCCCTTGTGGTAAGTCATCCGGAAAGATACCCGGGAATCGTTTCAGTAGTGCCTGAAGTTCGGGTGGTACAGCTGCCAATAGTTTCTGAAAATCGCTCGGCAGCTCCTCTTCTTGCACTAATGCTATATCCACTACGTACACGTCAGCTCCAGCAGCGACAGCCCGTTTCATCGTGATGGCGTTGACCTGGACCGTCGAAGACTCGGGTGGCTGCCAGCGAGGTAGGACGACCCAGTTACCACTATTTCGCACTGTGCAGCTACCCATCGTCCAGTCAATTCGCGGGTTATACCGTCGCAGCCAATCACGTCCCACTAAAATGTCGTGCCCATCCAGTGTCGTTGCGAGCATTTCCTGTGTAAACCCGAAGTTTCCTCCGCAGCGGACTTTTACTCGCTCCACCTTTTCCCGTATGGCTAGTGGCGTTCCGTCGACTAAGCGCGCATCTATCTCAGGTAAGCATCGGTTAAGTGTTAACTGTAATTTCCGTGCGGTTGCGGTATTAACTAAGCTGTGACTTGCTCCCCCGTCAAAAAAAATCTTCACTGCTGCTCCATGTATTTTCCCGTAGATCAGTATCGGGCAATCCGTCGCTGTACCCTCCTTATTCATCCGAGACCGATCGATGGCGTGAATCGGTACTGTGACTCGGTGAGGGTCGGTGTGGTTGGGCGAGCAGGCAGTCTCGTCAGTAGTTGGCCCATCTTCTACTGACTGCTGGCGTTTCCCTGCCTCTGAGACTCCCTCCCCTGCTCTGCTCCTCGGCGCCTCAGCTCCTCTGGGCATTCGCTCTTGCGATGGCCCGGCCTGTTGCAAGCAAAGCAACGCCCTTTAAACGGTGCGGCAGCTGCATTTGTTGCAACGGCGTGTACAGTGGCGTGCTCGGTCGGTCCCCGAGGGCGATGTCCGTAATAGGACCCCGGTCTCGGTCGGCGTAGAATGTCGATCTTCTCGGCGAGCGCGAGAATCTCGTTAAAATTAGAGAGTCCGCGCAGCATTATTTCGTGCGAGATATCCGGCTTCAGCCCTCCGACATAACGGTCCACCCGCTCCGCTTCGTGCATGTAGCCGACCTGCTCGCAAAGTGCGAGAAAACCGCTTGTATAATCTTGAACTGACCCGAGCTGGCGCCAAGTGCGCAATCTCTGACGCGCCGAAATCGAAGCCGCGATCGGCTCAAAACGCGCCCGAAGCCCTGCGCACCACGCATCCCACGTGCTGTATTGGGCGGTCTCACAGAACGAACTCCTGGTGACAGCTGGACCCGTGGGCCCTTCCTCGTGCGACGGTGGCTCGTAGGCGCGTGGCGACGTCACGATGACTCGCCACCAGTCCATGGCGGGGCCCCTTAGCAGTGAAACTACATACTGGATCTTCGCGGCGTCCGACTCGACGTAATTTGCGTCGAAGAAGACGTTCATCGTGAAGACCCACGATTGAACCGTTGGACCGCCGCGTTGGCTTGGGTCGAAGCAGGGCGGGCGTTGCGGCTTGAGCGGCATTGGTGCCATGATGGCTTGTTCGCCACTTGTCGCCGCAAATTCCACGTGCCGACGGGCTTCTCGGGGCTCTCGCGGGCTTGGTGCGATCCTGTTTCCTCCCATGCCAGGCATCGGCTGGGCGGCGCCATTACTGGTTGTGCCTGAGCGTTGTCCCATGCTGTCGTGTTGTGTTGGTGTGCCGGACGAGATGACGATCGGTTCATCCGAATGTGCCGATACATTTGTTGGTGTGTGTGATGTCGTCGGAACGTTCACCGTGGACTGTTGACGGGCGGAGTCACGTTCCGCCGTGAGCGTCGCGATTTCGAGCGCTGAATCTTCCAGTTGACGCACGAGACGATCAAGTTGCTCCTGCGTTAATGTGGCGAGCGTGAAATCGGCCATGGCGGGGGTGTCGGGCAAGCTCAGCGAGAGCCTCGGTCGTGGCCGTGCGTGCTTGCGAGAGAGCACTACGAGCGGCGGTGCTGTATCGCTGAGAGACGTCTACCCCCCCCAAAAAATTGAGATAGTGGGGAAGCGAAGGTGTGGATGCGGTCCGAGTTGAGATCGTAGGCTCTGATAACCAAGTGTTACGAGTGCAATTGAGTGAACGAACGAGAATTGCACTATCGAAGCAAGAATACAATGAGCGAGGGCGTGAGCGAAGAATATATAGCGAAACTACAGTGGTAACGGTAATGGTCTGTGGTAGTCGTGCGACGAGCCTGGGACTGAGGTTGGGAAAGTGTCGAGTCGTAGGCCCGGAGCGCGGGTTACCAGCCGAGCCGTGAGGTCAGGATGCGATGTGCGAAAAATGGCAGGATGATTGTCGATGCGATGATCGCGAGTGGTAACGGTGCTGACTGAGGTGCTACAGTGATGTACGCGTTGAGCAGGGATGCGAAGTAAGGAAAAGGGATTTTCCTTACAGAAACAAAATCAGGTGTCCGACTTCACTTCAAGATTGTTGACCAGTGCCGCAAAACCGAGTATACGAGGATAACGTGACCGCCCACTGGAATCTGCCACGTGGCATATTCGAGTGGGCAATTTTCCACTTGATAGGGTGAAAACAAAGCCAATTGCGTGGCGAGGGTTCATGCAACCGCCGAGGCCAGAATCGCGCACGGTGGTGCGTTCTTACTGTACCAGTCACTTCTTGACTGGTTTGGTCACGTGTCTGTGCCTCATGTGAGAAGGTGATTTTCACCTATTGGGCCACTTGCAGCGGAAGATTCGCCAGCGTGGCGACAGCGAGATTGTGGGAGGGGGGAAATCTTGGGAGATTTTAAGTGAAAGTACACGCGAAATTTCACCTAGGGAGCAATTCTCGCGATATCCTCCCGTAAGGAATCAGACTCGATAACAGCTATAATAGGAATCCATAAGAAAAGGGGGGTGTTTTATCCGGGAGAATACGGTATCAGACTCGCGTAGCATCACACTGAAGTTTACCTAAATCCCAAACACTTCGTGCATTGTACCGTATCAGGCAAGCCTCATACCATAATCCCTCAGTGTGTAGTAAGGTCCACCACAATCAACCACCTCTAGGTGCTTATAGGGTACGTTCCCTACTTTCAGTGTAATTCACCTTCTCAAGTACAATTCTATTCTTGCCACGGATACTTGGATGCCAGCTATTGGGCAGGATTACGTTGTACAAGGTTTAGATTGTTCTATAATGGTGATCTTACAGAACCACAGTTACCTCTTGTTTGAGAATTTGACGCATCAATATTATGTAGTTTGTCCCCGAATGCACATAAATGTGCCCATCAGGTACGTGCGGCACTCTGTCGCAGAAACACAAGGAGGGTGCCATATTTACCTTACCAGCAGCCCACTTTCCTTGTCCAACTGCTCGCCCTAAGGACGCGGTAAAAGTGGACGATCGATCGTTAGTCACGATCGATGTGCGGATCGGTTACCCTATTTACTATGCTGTAACCATGCTACAGTACTCTTTTTTGCCAAAATTTCTGTACGGTGTGCGAATGCGACTGATCACCGCTCGTGGGAGATTTGTCAATTCTAAAGGGGCGATTGTTACAACGTCGCGGTCGCCACGTTTCACCAATCGATCTGCCCACTCGATTGTGGGGCTCGATATTTGCAGACGATCCTGCGATATTTGCACTTGCACCGCGTCCTAACTGCATGGTAGGTAGCACCTGGACATGACATGGCCATTGGAGCTCGGCAATTGAGATGGCCTTCCTGCGAAGTCTGGACATGGACAGCCCCAAAAGTGCAGATTTTTTTGTCCACCCTGGCAGCTTCCACGTCTACCCCATGTGCAAGCCGATTCTGATGTGTGTGATCGTTAGGAGTATGCGAAACCTAACGCCCAATCAGATTTGCATGCGCGACTCAATTTACAGTTAGCGTTCGCAGCCCTAAACCCTCGACAGTTTCTCGCCACGCGTCAAAGGGTCTCATCGTGGGGGGTCTTCGCACGTTCAGGGTCTGTGAACTCACGCGATGTCCAGATTCGTTGCCTTCCACCTCATCACAATGACTACTCACTTGCACGTGCGAAGTGCACTTTTCGCTGTCCCTACTTCGAAGTTGGGACAGCCCAGGAAGGCGATCTGAGTTGCGAGTTGCCAAGTACATGGACCAGAAGAAGGGCGCGCCCTGCCTTGCTATCGCCGACGGTGTTCGCCACTTCGTGCGTCACATTTCCCATGCCATACACAGTAGACTTGGCCAAGTCGGTTTACGCTACGGGACTAGCCCGGACCTCGTTGCCAGCGTCGCACTAGCTAGCTCGCGCGCTCCGGTTACCGTTTGCTATGTTCGCTATATATGTTCGCTCACACTTGTACTCGTTTGACTCTTTAGTGCTATCTTCACTCGCGCTTTCAAGTGCACAAGCAACACTCATGAATTTATCCCACTCATGTATAATGCAATGTTGCAGATTAACAGTGCAGCAGCTTGTAGTCGAGGTTTTTCGCACAACTTCATCAAGACATAAATCTGCGGCCAGGTTCCACAGCGTTATCCGAACTCCTGTTACCCGCATCGCATCGCCACCTGCTTTTCAAAAGAGTGTTCCCTCCCTACCCAGTCAACAACTTCGTGCCTCTCTCTCATCGCTGCTGCGTGCAACCAAACCAGCACGTCCATTTCCACCTCCATTTTCTGACGACTCATGTATTTCCAGCAACTTCACAATCACCTCTGCAGGTTTTTTTTTTTTTTTTTTTTTTTTTTTTTTTTTTCGCGTCACCTTCCACGAGCACTATGCCTGTTGACTGTGATAGCGTTTGTGTCTGACGTCTCAAAAGGTAGTGTCAGAAACCGCGGGAACACGACGCTCGCCTGCTCCCTTGCCGGCAGGGCGAGCGCATGGAGGCATATCCTGTGTCGCGCCACCCGCTGCACCCCCGCTTGCACTCTGGAACCACCTTACGCGCCCCCCCCTCCAACCACCAATGGCGGCCCTTAGTTCCGCCGTCTCGCTATCAGCTTCTCCGTTGTTCTATATCGCTACGGCTGTCGCGGCTACCCGGTCGGCAGAGCGGGAGCGTCCCGCGGAGCCGCAGTCACTCCAGCCGGTTCGTCGCCGCCGCGAGCGGCGAAGAACCGAATGGAATTGTTGCGAACGATGCAGATAATATTGGGGATAAGAGTGCAGGGGGGAGTGAGAAGGCAGAGAGCGCGGAGCTGGCGGGCATCCTGGCGCGCGTTCACGAGGAGATGGCGGAAGCCACCCGCGCCCAGGCGGACGGGCGCGCGTCGGTCCTGCGGAGCATGGGGCGCGAGGGCGACGGGGAGAGCGCAGCGGGCGAGCAGCTTCTGCTGGAGCTGCTGCAGGCGGAGGAGCAACGGCGCATGCGCGCGCCGGGGGACGCGGAGGAGTCGGAGGAGGAGGCGGGGTTTTGGGAAGGAAGCGACGGCGCGCAAGGTGGAAAGGAGTACAGGTGGGCGCGAAGAGGGGCGAAAGCGAGTTGAGGGGAGTGAGTAAGGTCGCTATGCGTCACCCAGTACTGACCAAGTACCATGTACCATCCTCCCAATGCCCCTCACTCCACGCGCTCCTCTTCTGCTTTGCCCGTGCTCTTGCTTGCGCCCCCATGTCCTTCCCCCCCTTTTCCGCCGCCTGCAGGCTGCCCCCCTCCTTCTCCGCACTTGCCACTGGCTCGCCCGCGGTCCTCCCCGCCGCTTCTGCAGCGCCTGCTGCCGCTGGCGGCGATGGGGGGAGTGATGAGAGCAGGGGCGCGCGGATCGAGGGGGGAGGCGAGGGCGCGGGTCAGCGCGAGACGCGGCAGGAGCAGGGGGAGGGGGCGGGTGGCGAGGAAGGGGGCGGAGGGGTGGGGGAGGGGGAGAAGGAGGTGCCGGAGGGGTCAGTGGTACGGGAGCAGCTGGGCGGGCGCCCAGAGCTGTGGCGCGGCGTGCACGTGGCTGGGGCAACGTGGGCGGGCGCGGGCGCGGGGGTAGCGCAAGGGGAGGGGGATGGGCTAAGGCGAGGGGAGAGACCGGGGGAAGGAGGAGGGGGAGGGGCCGCGGCAGGGCAGAGCGGAGGGGGGGAGGCAGGGGCGGGCAGCGGGACGTACCTGCAGGCGCGCGAGCTGCTGTCGAATATGGCCAGGAGCATGGAGCAGCTGGAGAGCGGGCTCTCCGCCCGCCACAAGGTAGGCCTCTCCGCCCGCCACAAGGTACCCGTGTGGGCCGCCATGCCCCGCCACCGTGCTGCCCACTACGTTGAGTCCAATCGAGCCCCATTTGGGGGCCATTGTTCAATACCAGTAGAGCCTGCATGCTTGTCCCGTTACCGTACACACACACGCATCACACGCACACACACACTCACCCCCACGCCTACTCTCTCCCCCGTGCGTGGCATGGCATGGCATGGCATGACGTGGCGTGGCATGGCATGGCATGGCGTGGCGTGACGTGGCATGGCATGGCATGGCGTGGCGTGGCGTGGCATGGCATGGCATGGCGTGGCGTGGCATGGCATGGCATGGCATTGCGTGGCGTGGCATGGCATGGCATGGCATGGCATGGCATGGCATTGCGTGGCGTGGCATGGCATGGCATGGCATTGCGTGGCGTGGCATGGCATGGCATGGCATGGCATGGCGTGGCGTGGCATGGGATGTCATGGCATTGCGTGGCGTGGCATGGCATGGCATGGCATGGCGTGGCATGGCATGGCATGGCATGGCGTGGCATGGCATGGCATGGTATGGCATGGCGTGGCATGGCATGTCGTGGCGGGTGAGCAGGAGATGGGCGAGTCCACGCAGTTCATCTCGGGCATCCGCTCCAGCGACCCCGCTGCCGGCCAGGTGGGCGCCAGGCCACGTGGGTGGGTGGCAGGGCGTGTGGGTGGCAGGGCACGTTGGGGGCAGGGCATGGCAGGGCACGCGGGTGGGTGGCAGGGCGTGTGGGTGGGAGGGCACGTGGGTGGGAGGGCACGTGGGTGGCAGGGCGTGTGGGTGGCAGGGCACGTGGGTGGCAGGGCACGTGGGTGGCAGGGCACGTGGGTGGGGCTATCCGTGGGTGGTGGGGTGCGGTGCGGGGATGGGGTTGGTGTGCCTGATTTCTGTGCTCCTAATGTGCAGCATTGGTGGCGCCGGCAGCATGCAGGGGTCACTGGAGGGAGCAGCAGGGGTCACTGGAGGGAGCAGCAGGGTTGACTGGAGGGAGCAGCAGGGGTGAGTGGAGGGAGCAGCAGGGGTGAGTGGAGGGAGCAGCAGGGGTGAGTGGAGGGAGCAGCAGGGGTGAGTGGAGGGAGCAGCAGCCTGGGTGTGGTAGCAGTGCGTTTGCACCCCGCATGGGGCACATGCTCTCCGCTTGTGTGAGGCAGCATGCGACTGCAACCTGCCAGCTGCTGACATGTGCTCTATGCTGGGCATGGGGCGTGGCATGAGAATGGGAATGGGAATGGGAACGTATGGGCATGGCATGGTTGGGCATGGCATGGTGGGGCATGACATGGCATGGCATGGCATGGCATGGCAGGGCGCAGTGGTGCGGAGAGCGGAGGAGATGGTGGCGCGCATGCAGGTGCAGTTCGCGGCCATGGAGAAGGAGGCGGCCCACAAGGACACCGTGCTTGACCGCCTGCTCGCGCACGCCAAGTCCACCAAGCAGGTGCGCCCTTCATGAGGTGCGCCCTTCATGAGTTGACGTTTGAGTCGACTCATCAGTCACCTCGTTCGCGGCCATGGAGTAGGAGGCGGCCCACAAGGACACGGTGCTCGCCCGCCTGCTGGCCCACGCCAAGTCCACCAAGCAGGTGCGCCCTTTGAGTCCAAGCAGGTGCGCCCTTTGAGTCCAAGCAGGTGCGCCCTTTGAGTCCAAGCAGGTGCGCCCTTTGAGTCCAAGCAGGTGCGCCCTTTGAGTCCAAGCAGGTGCGCCCTTTGAGTCCAAGCAGGTGCGCCCTTCATCCAAGCAGGTGCGCCCTTCATCCAAGCAGGTGCGCCCTTTGAGTCCAAGCAGGTGCGCCCTTCATCCAAGCAGGTGCGCCCTTCATCCAAGCAACCATCATGCCACCTGCTCCCTCTGCCCTTGACCCATGGCACCCTTGACCCATGGCACCCTTGCTCCCTCCTGTCCGTTCTCCTCTCCCTACTTCCTCGCCTCGCTTTCTTTTCTTCATTCCTGCTTTCCACTCAGATGTTTTCTTCCTGCCTCTGTGCGCGCGCGCGCGTGTCTGTGTGTCTGTGTGTGTGTTGTGTTGTGTTGTGTGTGTGTGTGTGTGTGTGTGTGTGTGTGTGTGTGTGTGTGTGTGTGCATGCGTGCGTGCGTGCATGCGTGTGTGTGTGTGTGTGTGTGTGTGTGTGTGTGTGTGTGCGTGCGTGCGTGTGCGTGCGTGCGTGCGTGTGCACTGGTGCATGTGGCGGGGCGGCGAGCAGCAAATGAGGGCGGTGGAGGAGCGGTCGCGAGTGGAGAAGGACGCGTTGAGGCGGGAGATGACGGAGCAGCAGCAGCGCATGCAGAAGGTGCGGCACACACTGCCTACTCCATCACCCGCACTGCACCGTACTCTACCGCATTCAACATCCATATTGCACCGTACTCTACCGCATTCAACATCCATACCCTCACAGCTCTCACCGTGTCTTTCCTTCATCGCCCACCATCCACTGTCCCCCTCACTCACATCCTTTTCCGTCCTCTTACCCGTATCCCCTGCCTCTCCCACATTCCCCTTCCTCCTTTCCTCTCCCCCACACCACCCCACCACCCCTCGAACCCACGTGGGCGTGCGAGCGAGGCGAGCAGGAGCTGGAGACAGCGGCGGGGCGGGAGGAGCGGATGAGGCGGCAGCTGATGGAGGCGCAGGAGGGCATCGCGCACCGGGACGCCTTCCTGCAGCAGCTGCAGGAGGAGGCCGCCCTCTCCGCCTCCGCGCTCAAACAGGCCGCCAGGGTGGGTGGGCTGGGGGGGATGTGCGTTGCTTTTCGCCTCACAAGGGTTGTGCTGCGCTGCGCCGGCTGGTGTCAGATGGGGTGCGGTGGGGTGGGGTGGGGTGGGCAGTGGTGGCGCGGGTAGGAAATCACTTAGATGACTGAGTGCCGGCATGTTCCAGCAGCAGTACCTATTTCTCCATGCCTTACGCCCTGCTTCCCTTCCCTGCCACCCGTCATCCCCGCTCCCTGCTTTCCCGTGGTGCCGTGCCCCTGTGTGCCGTGCCCCTGTGTGCCGTGCCCCTGTGTGCCGTGCCCCTGTGTGCCGTGCCCCTGTGTGCGGGGCGGGGCGGGCGAGCAGGCGATGGTGGCGGCGCGGGACCGCACGTTGAGGATAGAGGAGCAGCTCGAGTCGATGGGAGACCAGCTGGCCAAGGAGCGCGCCAAGACCCGCCGCGAGCGCGAAAACACTGCTCGTGTTACCGCCGTGCGTGCACTGCACTGCTGCGCATTCTGCATCAGCATTGCCTGCTACCGCTCCTGATTCCATCACGTACCATTTCTCCACGCATCCCGCGTTGCTCCCCAATTATTTGCATCCTCATCCCTCGCCACATCCCACCTTCTCACCCTCTCTCTCCCCCCACCCCCCCTTCTCCCCGGTGATGTGGGGGTGGCGTGGGGTGGGCGGTGACAGGAGCTGGCGGAGGCGCGCATGGCGGCGGAGGAGATGGCGGGGCGGGTGGGGCGGCTGGAGAGCGAGGTGCAGCGCAAGGAGCGTGAGATGCAGCAAAGCCGCCACGAGGCGGACGCTGTCAGGGCGCAGCTTAAAGCCACCCAGCAGGTCAGGGCGCAGCTTAAAGCCACGCAGCAGGTCAGGGCGCAGCTTAAAGCCACCCAGCAGGTCAGGGCGCAGCTTAAAGCCACCCAGCAGGTCAGGGCGCAGCTTAAAGCCGCCCAGCAGGTCAGGGCGCAGCTTAAAGCCGCCCAGCAGGTCAGGGCGCAGCTTAAAGCCACCCAGCAGGTCAAGGCGCAGCTTAAAGCCACCCAGCAGGTCAGGGCGCAGCTTAAAGCCACCCAGCAGGTCAGGGCGCAGCTTAAAGCCGCCCAGCAGGTCAGGGCGCAGCTTAAAACCACCCAGCAGGTAGGCAGGCGAGCGGCCGTGGAGGGGCGAGCGAGGGGGTCAATTGGTGCGTGAGTGGGGAGGGGTTGAGTGAGGGTGTCAACCTGTTTATCCCGAGATGAGCTCTGTCCTGCCCCACTGTCTTGCTGCCCCACTGTCTTGCTGCCCCACTGTGTTGCTGCCCGTCACATCACCTCAACCTCTCCTCCCCTCTCTTCCGTGCTTCCTTGCCCCCAGGCGTTGGAGGAGGCAGCGCGGCAGGCGAGGGAGGCGCAGGCAGGGAGGCAGCAGGCGGAGGCAGCGGCAGAGGAGGAGCGGGCGGCGGCAGCAGCGGCGGTGGAGGGGCAGCAGAGTGCAGAGCAGCGCCTGAGGGAGGCGCAGGCGCGGGTGGAGCTGCTGCAGGGCGAGGTGGTGTCGCTCAAGGTGAGGCGAGGTGGGGCGAGGTGGGGCAAGGTGGTGTCGCTCAAGGTGGGGGCGGGGGGGAGACAGAGGGGGTTGTTGGGATCCCGAGGTGGAATGAAAGTGACGTGTGGGCTGTTGGGGTGTGCTGTTGGGGTGGGCTGTTGGGGTGTGCTGTTGGGGTGTGCTGTTGGGGTGGGATGTTGGGGTGGGCTGTTGGGGTGTGCTGTTGGGGTGGGCTGTTGGGGTGGGCTGTTGGGGTATGCTGGAGGTGCTTGAAGAGCACGGGTTGGCTTGAAGAGCACGTGGTTGGCTTGAAGAGCACGTGGTTGGCTCAACTGATAAAGCACATGATGGGGTTGTGCTTGTTAACACCCCTGGCCTGTGCAGCCCTTTCATCCACCAGTGGTACTTTGCTACTGTCTCTCTCTCCCCACCCCTCCCCCCTCTCCACCTCGCGTCCTTGTGCTCCCGTCCTGTGTGGTGTGTGTCGTGTGTGTGTGTCGGCGAGCAGGAGGTGGCGTTGAGCAAGGACTCGCTACCCTCTCTCTCTCTCTCTCTCTCTCTCTCTCTCTCTCTCTCTCTCTCTCTCTCTCTCTCTCTCTCACACACACACACACACACTCCCCACCCCTCTCCCGTGTGGTGTGTGTGCATTTGTGTGGGCGTGCAGGAGGTGGCGTTGAGCAAGGACTCACTACCCTCTCTCTCTCCCCCCACCCCTCCCCCCTCTCCACCTCGCGTCCTTGTGCTCCCGTCCCGTGTGGTGCGTGTCGTGTGTGTGTGTGTGGCCGTGCAGGAGGTGGCTTTGAGCAAGGACTCGCTGCTGGCGGCGGTGAAGGAGGAGACGATGCGCAACGCGGACATGCTGCTTGCTGCTGCCAACACTCGCAAGGTCAGACAGACCCGTGCTGCCAACACTCGCAAGGTCAGACAGACCCGTGCTGCCAACACTCGCAAGGTCAGACCGTGCTGCCAACACTCGCAAGGTCAGACCGTGCTGCCAACACTCGCAAGGTCAGACCGTGCTGCCAACACTCGCAAGGTCAGACCGTGCTGCCAACACTCGCAAGGTCAGACCGTGCTGCCAACACGCGCAAGGTCAGACCGTGCTGCCAACACTCGCAAGGTCAGACCGTGCTGCCAACACGCGCAAGGTCAGACCGTGCTGCCAACACTCGCAAGGTCAGACCGTGCTGCCAACACTCGCAAGGTCAGACCGTGCTGCCAACACGCGCAAGGTCAGACCATGCTGCCAACACTCGCAAGGTCAGACCGTGCTACCAACACGCGCAAGGTCAGACCGTGCTGCCAACACTCGCAAGGTCAGACTGTGCTGCCAACACGCGCAAGGTCAGACCGTGCTGCCAACACTCGCAAGGTCAGACCGTGCTGCCAACACTCGCAAGGTCAGACCGTGCTGCCAACACTCGCAAGGTCAGACCGTGTTGCCAACACTCGCAAGGTCAGACCGTGCTGCCAACACGCGCAAGGTCAGACCGTGCTGCCAACACTCGCAAGGTCAGACCGTGCTGCCAACACTCGCAAGGTCAGACCGTGCTGCCAACACTCGCAAGGTCAAACCGTGCTGCCAACACTCGCAAGGTCAGACCGTGCTGCCAACACTCGCAAGGTCAGACATGGCATCAACCTTGTCTTGTCTAACCCTCTCCATCACCCCGCCATTCAACCTTTCACTCTCTCTCCTCCCCCCATCCCCTCTTCCCCCTTTCCCCATGCCTCCATTCCCCTCCTGTGTGCGGTGTTGTGAGGGCAGGAGTTGGCGGGGGCGGAGGCGCGGGTAGCAGCGCTGCAAGGGTCGGTGGCGGCACTGGAGGCGGAGGTGAGGCAACAGGACCAGCTGCTCAACGACATCCGCGCCGATGCTGTCTCCAGTGCTGATGCCCTGCGCACCGCTGCTCAGATCAACCAGGTGGGTTTTGAGTCGAATCAAAAGGCATAGGAGGCGGAGGTGAGGTAGCAGGACTAGCTGCTCAGCGACATCCGCGCTGTCGCTGTCTCCAGTGCTGACGCCCTGCGCACCGCTGCTCAGATCAACCAGGTGGGCGGCAGAGTGGTTCGGATCAACCAGGTGGGCTGTTGGGTGGTGCAGGCAGGTAAGGCGAACAGGGTGAGAGTTGAAACTTGGGAGGTTAGGGTGATGGACGGACTGGGCAAGGGGAAGAAGCGATGAGGCACGAGTGAGTGGCCCAGTAGGCACTGCAAGGACTACAAGTGGTCATCTGAGCACCACGCTGCTGCTCATCCCTTGCACCCCCTGTGCCTCCCCATGCCTGTCCCCCTCCCACCGTGGTGGTGGCATGGCAGGACCTGAATGCAGCGAGGGAGCGCGAGGCGGAGCTGTTGGAGCAGCTGGAGCAGCGCGAGGCGGAGGTGGAGAGTCTGCGCCGCGACACCTCCGAGAACATCCGCGCGCAGCGAGCTGAGCTCGTGAGACAAGAAAAGAGAGGGGGGAAGGGGGTGGGGGCAGCGCGCTGAGCTCGTGAGTCATTGGAAAGGGGGGGGGAGGGGGTGGGGGCAGCGCGCTGAGCTCGTGAGTCATTAGAAAGGGGGGGGGGGGAGGGGGTGGGGGCAGCGCGCTGAGCTCGTGAGACAAGAAAAAGAGAGGGGGGAGGGTTGCTTGGAGGGCAGCGCGCTCAGCTCGTGAGACAACAGGGGGGGGAGGGGGTAGGGTTTCTTTGCTCGTGAGTCATTGGAGGGCAGCGCGCTGAGCTCGTGAGTCAAGAAACGGGGGGGGGGGGGAGAGGATTGTTTTGCTTTCAGGGCGGAACTTCTTGTGCAGCGCCCCCATCTATGTTGCACCTGACGCCCTGGAAGACGCGTCAAATCGGTTTGACGCTGGACGTTCGGGGAATTTTTTTTTCTGGCAGCCCGAAAAAAATTCTCCTGCGAAATTGACTCGCGATTTCATCGCGACCAGAATTGACGATGAAATTGACAACTGGGGGCCGCGTTTTTTACCTAAAAAACGCAACCCTCATTTATTCCCCCCCACACATTTGTACCCATCCACATCTACTTCTCCCAACCTGGTCGACCCCCAACTAAACTAGAGAACCAGATCTAGGTCAGGAGTATTTAACTTGTGTGTGAGATTAGGAGATTTTCAGGATTTTCAGGATTTTATGGAGTATTTATAACTAAAGGTGACAAATGTGAACTTCTTGCATTCTAACCCCTGCGTATCCTTACTAGGCAGGTTTTTTTACCCCTGCCCGGAAAACATTTTTGCCCTGCCCGGACTAGCGTCAAGCGGGCGTCCAGGGCAGAGGGCACCGGGCGTCAAGCGTCTGGACGCCCCGTCCAGACGCCAGCGTAAAAAACGCCTGACGCGTCAGGCGCAACATAGGCCCCCATTACCTCCTCGCTGCTTCACTCCTCTTCCCTCGCTTCCTGTATGCCCCTTTTCCAGCACTAAACCACCAATCCCCTCTCTTTCCCCCTCTCCCCCCGTCCCCTCCCCAGTTTTTGTGTGTGGTGCGACTGGCGGGGGGCAGGCACTGCGCGAGGCGGAGAGGAGGGTGCGGGAGCTGGAGATGGGGAGGGGGTCGCTGCTTCACTCACCCCCACTCTCCCCACCCCCTCAAAACCACCACTCTCCCCACCCCCTCAAAACCACCACTCTCCCCACCCCCTCAAAACCCCCACTCTCCCCACCCCCTCAAAACCCCCACTCTCCCCACCCCCTCAAAACCCCCACTCTCCCCACCCCCACAAAACCACCTCTCTCCCCACCCCCACAAAACCACCTCTCTCCCCACCCCCACAAACCGCCTCTCTCCCCACCCCCACAAACCGCCTCTCTCCCCACCCCCTCAAACCGCCTCTCTCTCCCCTTCCTTCCTCCAGGCGCTGCGGGAGGCGGAGAGGCGGGCGCGCGAGCTGGAGATGGAGAGGGAGTCACTGCGGCGGGGCGTGGCGAAGCGCGACCAGGCGCTGGGGCTCATGAAGAGGGAGCTCGAGCGCAGCGCGCACATGCTCTCCGCCGCTGCTGACACCCGCCAGGTGAGGCAGCGCCCACATGCTCTCCGCCGCTGCTGACACCCGCCAAGTGAGGCGTGCTGCTCACATCACACTCGCCGGCTGCTCTTTTCAGGTAGATGAGCTTGTGGAGCGACAGCTGTGCTGTGACTGAGGGAATTTCTTTGCACTGTGCCCCCCTTTCCCTCCCTTGCCATGGGATACCTCCCTCATGCACTCCCATTGTGCCCTCGTGCACTCCCATTGTGCCCTCATGCACTCCCATTGTGCCCTCATGCACTCCCATTGTGCGCTGGGAACGGCAGGCGCTGCGGAGCATGAAGGAGCAGATGGAGTGGATGCAGGAGGAGGCGCGCGTCAAGGAGGAGCGCCTGGCAGCGCTGCAGGAGGAGTTTGTCTCCGCGCTCAAGGGCACCACCTTCCCATCGCTGGTACACGCCTGTTCTGTGCACGCATGCATGAATGCATTTGTTATCCTTGGTGCTTCTCCTCGTATGTGGATGTGCAGCAAGTTTGCAGTTTTCGTAAACCTCACTTCGCCAGTGCTCATTTCTTTTCTGAACTGACATGATTCATGCAGGACAAGAGCATTCTAAAGCGAAGAAAGGTGCCGCCACAAGGGAAGTCGTCTGGAGATGCGCAACCCCAATCACCTGCCTGATAGCAACACTTACCTCCATGGCTATGGAGTGCCTGTAGCAGCAAGCATGAGTGCTTGGTTCCTGAGTATGTATGCAAGCATGTTGGTGATGCTAATTATCGGTGCTTGATTAGCATGTTCTTAGTTGAGGGTTGGAAATGTAGAAACATATTGTAGAGAGTTGCGAGCAGCTTTGGCGCGGATGCAATTTCCGGTAAGCAGCAAGAAATGTGCGACGGCTGTAAGCAACTCATCTGTAATCCTTGAGCCATGAATTTGGCCTACACCGTACGTACAATATTGGCTGCGGGTTTCTACCTACATGAGGCGGTTGGACTCTACGAAGTTTTGAGGGCGCGAATCGTTGGCGACCGTCGTTCGGCGCCCCTTTCCTTGAAACGGGTCCGAGCCCATTCTCGCTACCAGAACACACCCCCCTCGGTCCTTCGATGCTTTTCCCAACGCCAATAGGGATGCATGCGCTTCCTTACCATTTGTCCGCAGAGACAGGTGTCATCGCAGACGCCGAACTTTTCTATGCGCGCGAACCAAGCCGAAAGTTCTCTAGGTGTATTTGAGCCTAGACCATGCTTATATACAACAACGTTCACGTCGTTCGATGCTTTTCCCTACGCCTAAGGGATGCATGAGCTACCTGTCAGAATGAGGAATGAGTGTTGCATTGATGTTGGTTGGGGTACATATGACAAACCCTAACTTCTGTACCCCCTAAGACAAACCTCACTACAGGCTACAACATTTGACACACCCCCATAGCCTAAGTGAGGGGTGTCTAGCAAAAACAAAAAAGAGTACGGTCACAAGACCAGTCCAAAAGAAAACAAAGCTCAGGGTGGATCACAACGTCACCACACACTCTGAGCACAAGCAACAGTGGCCACAAGGCCAGTCCAAGAGATCACAAGTATATATAGTAAATGTACAGACGAAGCAGGCAATAAACTCAAGTCTACGCATGACTAGAACCTGTGTCAACAAGGCCTAACTGCACACAACACCTCTGGTGGTCACAAGGCGGAAGCGCCTTGGTGAAGATGTCTGCAGTGTTGGCCTCGGACTCTACAAACTCGAAGCGAGCCTGTCCACGCCTCTGCAACTCTCGCAGAAGAAAGTACCTGACGTGAATGTGCTTCACTCTGCTCTCCAGTCGCGGCTCACGACAGAGGAGGATCGACGCCTTGTTGTCAGTAAACAAGGTCGGTGCAGAGCTCGGCCGCTCACCAAGGTCGGCGAGCAAGAAGGTCAACCACCGGAACTCCTGTGCCGCCATGGCACCAGCGTAAATCTCAGCCTCAGCTGTAGAGGTCGAGACAGAAGAGGAGCGCGTGGAACGCCAGGAAACAGCTCCAGAACCCAGACTGAAACAGTACCCCTGAGTAGACCTGTGAGTCTCAGCGTCGTCAGCGTAAGAGGAGTCACAGTGACCAGTGAGTACGACAGACTGCTGCCCTCCAAGAACTAGCCCCACGCCTGATGTAGTCGCTAGGTACTTCGCCACCCTCACAGCTGCCGTCCAGTGAACAGGACGGTGTCTCCCTGGCGCAATAAAGCGCGCAAGGATGCTGAGAGGGAAGGCGAGGTCCGGGCGAGTACAAGTCATCAGGTACATGAGGCAACCCACAAGCTCTGCGTAGGGACCACTAGGCTCAAACGGCTCGTCAGGAAAGGGACCAGTGAGTCTGTGGTCAACAGCTAGAGGTGTGCGCTGTACGGTGGAGTGCTGAAGCCCGAACCGCTGAAGGACCTGCTGCACCATGTGTGACTGTGAGAGTGTAATGGTGCGAGCGGCTCTGTCCCTGGTGATCTGCAGGCCAAGGTAGTGGCGCAGCTCACCAAGATCAGTGCACGTGTGTCTCTTCTACAGTTCGGACTTCACGTCTGCCAAAGCAACCCTGTCCGGAGTGGCGAAAACGAGGTCGTCGACGTAAACCAGAACAAAGAACGGTGTGGAGCCACGACGAACGAACAGCGACGGGTCGGCAGAAGACGGCTGGAACCCAAGGTCAGAGAGGGTAGAACGCAGAGTGTCGTGCCACTCACGAGGGGCCTGGCGAAGACCGTAAACAGGTCGCCTCAGCCTCCACTGGGTCCCAGGAGGGAAGGTGCCAGTGAAGGCCGAGGGACGACGCAACCAGACCTCCTCGTGTAGGCTGCCCTGAAGGAAAGCAGTGGAGAAGTCGAGAGAGTGTAACTCGTAGTCTCTCTGTGCTGCTACGTGTAGTAACACCCGAAGAGTGGTCATCTTCGGGGTAGGTGCGAAGGTCTGAAAGAAGTCAACTCCCTCACGCTGACTGAAACCTCTAGCCACGTAGCGCGCCTTGAAGACCGGGGGAGATCCCGGTGGCCGCTTCACCCTGTAGATCCACATGCCGTCGACTACGTTCGCCCCAGGGGGGGGAACCTCATCGACGTAGGTGCCTGTGGATCTGTAGGAGGCCATCTCTGCGTCCATGGCAGCTCTCCACTGAGAGGCCCAAGGCCCTGACACTGCCTCAGCGTAAGTGCGAGGAGTCGGAATGTCAAGGGCGTCGGGGTCACCCTCAGGGGTGAGGAGCATGGCACAGAGATGAGGGGAAGCGGCCGCCAGGAACTCTAGCTCAAACTGCCTGTCCTCTAGGGCGTCACGGCCAAGGGCAGACACACCCCCGACGGCCAGAGGACTGGTAGGAGGAGCAGCCACAAGCGTGGTGGCGTAGTCAAGGCGGCGGGTAGAGGCAAAGTCAGTAACTGCGGCAGTAAGAGCGGACACAGAGGACACAGAGGCACGAGGGTGAGTAACAAGAGAGGCGAGAACACGAGAGAGAACAGGACGGTACGTGCGGTAGTAGTCAGTGACAGGAGTAGGGAGCGACACAGTGAGGGCCGACTCAGGAGGAGACGGAAGCACAGACTGAGACGGACGAGGTGGACTAGAAAGAAGGAAGGCAGTACGAAGGTCAGTGAAGGGAACAGGAGACAAGGGACGAGCACGAGGGGAGCGACGAGTAGCCCAAGAACGAGACGGAGGAGAAGAGGACAAGGGCGGAGAACTGGGGAAAACAGCGGGGGAGGAGTCAGGAGGAGGAAACGTGGGACCGTAGACAGGAGGAGAGGCGGAGGAGGGAGGAGAAGGGGAGGGGAGACCAAGGATCCGAAGACCCGAGACAGGAGGAGGAAGTGGCTGCTGCTGCTGCGGCTGCGACTGCTGCTGCTGCGGACGCGGCTGCTGCTGGGACTGCTGCTCCTGCGGGTCCAGCTGCTGCTGCTGCTGCTCCTGCGGGTCCAGCTGCTGCTGCTGCTGCTGCTGCTCCTGCGGCTCCAGCTGCTGCTGCTGCTCCTCCAGCCGCTGTAACTCCCTCTCCTCTCTCTCCAACGCCAGCTGCTCGTCACGGGCACGGCGAACACGAGCCTGGTGCCTAGTCGGGTAGGGGTGGGGGGGTGGAGTAGTGTCCGAAGCAGCGGCAGCTCCAGAGTCCACCCCAGAAGAACTAGGCGCACCACCCCCAGAGGCAGCACTAACACCAGCTCCAGACCCAGGCTCACCTAAACCCGAAGGAGGCGCACCCTCACCCCCAGACGCAGCACCCCCAGTGTCCGCGCTGCCAGCACCAGCTCCCGGACGACAAGAGTCCTCTGCACCCACCGGGTCAGCTCCAACTCCAGAACCAGAAACTCCAGCTCCAACCCCAGCTCCAACTCCAGCACCCCCAGAACCAGAAACTCCAGTGCCAACTCCAGCTCCAACTCCAGCTCCAACTCCAGCACCCCCAGAACCAGAAACCGGTACAGGAACAGGCGCCGTACCAACCTCTCGAGAGCTAGCACCAGCGGCACGCTGCGAGGAGGACTGTGGGGAGGGAGGCTGTACCGGAGGGGCTACCGAAGGAGGAGGGGTAGCCTGGGACACACCTGACGGGGCTGGACCAGGGGGGGGAGGCTGTACCGGGGGAGCAGGAGGGGGAACGGCAGTCAGGAAGAGAGGGGGGGGGGAGGAACCGGGAGACCTCGACTGGGGTACCTGACGTAGTACGGAGTGGACTCCTCGAAACGAACGTCACGGGAGTCAAAGAACCGGTGAGAGGGAGGGTGGTAAAAGGTGAAGTCAGAGGAGTCCTCAGGGAAACCAAGGAAGACACAGGGGACGGCACGAGGCGAGAGCTTGTCCGCGGAGGTGTCGCGGACAAGAGCCAAGCACCCCCAGACACGAAACCGCGACGCAACACCAGGGGACCCTGTCCAAAGACTGGTCGGTGAAACCTCTGGTCGAGAGACACGTGGCCAGAGGTTCAGCTGGTGCGCGGCGTACCTGACCGCGTAGGGCCACAGAAAATGGGGGGCACAGGCGTGAGTCAGGGAGGTGCGGGCGATCTCCATGACCAGGCCTATGCGGCGCTCAGCAACCCCATTCTGCTGTGGGGACTCTGGAAGCGTCCAGGACTGACGAATGCCCTGCTCGCGACAGAATCCAGCGAGAATGCCGGAGCGAAACTCACCCCCACGGTCGGAGTGGAGACAGCTGACACGACGACCACGAGTGTCCTCGGTGGTGAGCAACCACCTGATCAGCGTAGAAGTCACCTCAGACTTCTTCGCCAGAGGGAACACTGTGGTGTAGCGGGAGAAGTCGTCAACGACCACCAGAAAGTAACGCTCACGCTCAGGGCCTAGACGAGGGGCTGGGCCCCAGACGTCCAAGTGAAGCGTCTCAAAAGGCTCGGTGGCCGGACGAAGGGAGGAGGAGTGAGGGGTGGCGCGCAGCCTACCCTCGACGCAGGGACGACACGGCGGCGCAGGCGAAGGCGGCAGCGACGGCAAGACACGTGGGAGGCCTAGGACAAGACGCTGACTAGACATAGCACGCAGACGTGGAAGGGACGGGTGCCCCATCCGGTGGTGCCACAGAACGGTGGGGTGGGCAAGCGACCGGCAGGAGCACGACGCAGCGACTGGAACAGACGTAGGAACCTGACACGACACAGACACCTGGGGGGACGTAGCAACCTGGTGAGACGCGGGGACCC